AATATGATTATCAAATTTACCATGAACAATGATGAATTTAATGAGTACAAGGTAATTTTAATAAATAAATAATAAATAGATTACTGTATTACCAGTTTTTCTATAACAAAATTATATTTTAAAATCAGATTAATTTTAATTAAACAAATCACTTTTTTTTATAAATTTTTATTTATAATTAGAGTTCCGGCAACTTTTTTAGGCAGGGAAATTCCCTAATAAAATCCCTTTAATTTTTTTATTGAAACTAGGAAAACTATTATAATTTTAGAACTAAAAAAATATTTTTAGTGTAATTTTTAATCTGTAAAAAATTAATTTTTGTTTTTAACATATTTTATATATATATATGTTTTAATATATTTTATATATTAGGAAAGAGCCAATAAAATTGAACAACAATTAATCGATCGATTTTTACGGCAATCGGGAATCAAATTATATTCAAATAAACTTTTCAGTGAATTAGTCAAACGAGTTATACAAACTATGGATGAAATTCAATCGACAAAATCGACAATTGTTTTACTAAATACCCAATTCATTGAAACGTTTAAATACGTACAGCGTTTACATATTGCACGCGAAGCCTATCAGTTAACCGGTTACGCAATAATGTTTAATAAATATAATTTTATGGATAATAATAAATTTATTTTATTTAAACATTTTAAGGATATGTAAGTTTTTTTTAATTTTGTAGATTTTTATTTTTTTTAAACAAAGTTATGTTAATTATAGTTATATATATATACTACAGATAATGCAAATTAAAAGTTTAAATTTAAGTAATATCATGTATACAGTTAACTTACGCCTAAGCAAGGTAACATATGTCATATTAGGTAAGTTATATATACAATACCCTGGCTAAATTAAAAGATAATGTTACTTAAATTTTAACTTTTAAGTGGCATAATATTAATTATATTCTTATAAGTATTATAAACAATTGTATATACAGTATATATAGAAATTCTGTGACAGTATATACACTCATATATTATAATATATATATATAATGTATAATAAAAATTTATTTATGTTTTTATTTATTTTATAAATTTACAGTATAACACAATTACACGAAACAGGCAATTTCGATGCATTGCTTAATTCATTTCTGAATTTTTTACTAAAAACCATTCAACGGAATATGATTGTCGACTATAATTCAGATACCGATCCCTATGACCAACGTATGCCATTGGACAGTATGCGTGTAGCACTGGGACCATATATAACACTACTGGCCATTGCATTGATTGTATTTATCATTGAAATAAAGTTTAAAATTATTGAAATAATTTTCTTACTAATGTTAATATATTGCACTTAAAATTTTTTTATTTGAAATATGCAATTCAATTATAATTATTAATTATTTATATTTTTATACTAATATTTAAATATTTAATTAAACATACATCTAAATAATTTATATAATATATAATTATATAATATATTTCAATAAATTTTAAATATTTATTGCTTATTATTAATAATATAATTGTAGTTTTTATTTTATTTTTTGGAAAATTAAGATTTTTGTTTATGATTAATTAAATTTATTCTATAAAAATTAACTAATTTTACTTTTTAATTAAACTTAATTAAATTTTATAAAAATTAATTCTAATTAATAAATAAATAATTGTTATTAAATCTATGATATTAATTATTTTTTATAATTTTTTTGTAAAATAATAATTTTACATTAATAAACTATATATTATATATATATATTAAAATAAGTTATTTCTGTGTAATGTTTTTCTGTGTTAATCAATATTACTATAGCATTACTTATTAAATATATATATATATATCTGAACACCCATTAGAAAAATATAATATACAAATATATTTACATATAATATATATAGTTATTACATATACAGTACATATATATTACATTATTTTTGAAAATTATAATTACTAATTGTTTTTGAATAGAAATATTTTGAAAAGTATTGGAAAAAGCACTTATACTGTATATATAAATATTAGATTATATATATATATATAACACTATTTTGAACTAAATATATATATTATAAGTTTATTAATTATTATTAATAAAATAAATTAATAAAAATTGTATACAAAAAAAATAATTTTATATTAATTTATTTTTATTATCATCATTTAGTAACTATTATTTATAACACAAATATTTTTATCAATCATTATTATTAATCAAGCTAAAAATATGATAACAAATTTGGCACCAAATGTTCAATGTGATTTTACTATAGCTGCCGAAACTGAGCCGTATCAATTTGATATGAAATTTACAATATTGAAAAATTTTACATTTACTAGCAGTATATTTGTAAGCAATTTATTTTTTTTTATTTTATTATTATTTAACTGATGATTACATTTTAGATCAAAAAAAAATTATTAGTAATAATATTTAAAATATGATTTTTAAATAAAAAAATATACATTTTATATATTATTATAATAATTTTAAAAAATAAAATAATATTTATTTTTTCAATAGCATGTAGACAATGATTTTAAATTTTTATGTTCACATGAATTGCAAATAGTTTACAAATTGGTTGAGCGCACAAAATATGGGTAATTAATAATTTATTTTAATTATCAATTAATAATCTAATAATTTTAAGTATATTTTAACATTTTTTAAAAATTTAACTAATTTTTTTATATAAGTGCAATAACATTCATAAAAGACAAAAATTTTACTGTATGTATATTATGTTTTTATTATCTTATATAGATTATTGTTAATTTTTGTTGTTGAATAAAATATATAATAAAAATAAACATTTTTTTAAAATTAGCTTGATCAAGTTGATTTAGTACTACATCGATACAAATTAAACACAAATTATGTTGATTATTATTATTTAATATGGCCCTATAATGAATATACAGTATCAATTATAAGCAGTATCTACAAAACAATTGATAGCAATAAATTTAATGGCATCTTGAACATTTTCGATATCTATGTAATATATTTATATTAATTATTATATTATTATTAATTTTTAACTATTATTATTAATATCTAATATCATTTAATTTTATAGTATTGGTTGGCACTTATTTGCACATTAGCCATAGGATCGATAATGTATTTAATTTATTTGCAAATGTAATTCAAAAATTTTATTATTATTATTATTTTAATTTTTTTAAATATTAATAATAATAATTATTATTTTTTAATAAAGATTTAATAGTAATAGTTTATCGATTAATAAAACTAATTTATGGCATATATTTAACGCAATGTTTATGAATTGTTAGTTTTTATTAATTATTAGTTTTTTAATATAAAATATTTAATATGTTATTAATATAATTATTTAATTTCAATTGTTTTTTTATTTTATTTTTTGTAATTTATAGTCAAAATCAATTTGCAAAAAACTACTGCATATATCTATCTACTATTTGGTACACTATTTGTTGGAAAATTTTTTACATTAATTTTCATAAATCAGGAAATATTATCGGTTTATCTGATAAATCCATTTGAAACTATTGACTCGTATGAGGATATTATGCGTAAACCAAATATGATTATCAAATTTACCATGAACAATGATGTATTTAATGAGTACAGGGTAATTTACATATTATCTATATATAAATATGCATTTATTATTATATACATGTTTTAATCTATATACTTATTTATATATAAAATTAATTATTATTATTTTTTTTTAAAAATTAGGAAAAAGCCAATAAAATTGAACAACAATTAATCGATCGATATTTTCGACAGTCTACCGATAAAACGGAAAAATTATATTCAAATGCATTTTTAAATGAAATAGGTTTACGTGTTAGACAAACACTGTATGAAATTCAATCGACAAAATCGACAATAGTTTTGCTAAATACCGAAATCATTGAAGCCTTTAGATACGCACACAAACAATACGTACAGAGTTTACATTTTGCACGCGAAGCGTATCAATTGAACGGATACGCAATGTTGGTTAGGAAACAATTGTGTAAATCGGATGATAAATGGATTTTATTCAAACATTTTAAGGATATGTAAGTGTTTTTTGTTTGTTGGTTATTATTAATTATTATATTTATTAATTTTTAACTGACTATATGCTAGTTATAGTTATATTTAATTTTCTATTTTTAATTTATATAATAATAATAATTAATAATTAATTAATTTACAGTATAACACAACAACGTGAAACAGGCAATTATGATGCACTGCTTAATGCAGGCATTAATTATCTATTGAAAACAAATCAACAGCAAAACAATGTCGACCTAAACACCGATACCGATCCCTATGACCAACGTATGCCATTGGACAGTATGCGTGTAGCACTGGGACCATATCTAACATTACTGGCCATTGCATGCCTAGTGTTTGTTATTGAATTACACCATTTATTAAATGACATAATTTTTTTGCTATTGTTTCTAATTTATTTTTAATTAAAATTTTTAAAATAATTATTATTTTTTCAAGTTATTATATTTATTTATAAATATTATATTTAATAATATTATTATAATGCTAAAACTAATAATAGTTTTTTATTAATTAAAAAAATCACCAGATATAAATTTTATATTTGAAATTAAATATTAAAAAATTTGTAATTGTTATTAATTAAAAAAAACTAATGTGTGTTTTAAACTTATTATTTATTTATTTTCTATTATTTAAATATATATATCGTATTATAATAAACTTTATATTTTTATTTATTAAATGAGATTATGAAACATATAATACTATATCATATAAAAACAATTTAACTAATAAATCTGTATTAAATAATATAATTATTATTTACATTAAAAGAAAATGATTTTTCTTTATGTATAAACTTTAATAAACTTTTTGTTTTTTTTCAAATACTGTAATTATAATGACATTTAATATATATAATTAAAAATACAAACTAATTATCAATTTGTTGAGCATTTAATGTAATGATTATTATGTTATCAATAATTAAAAAAAAAAATTATTATTTAGACGACAAATGTTTCAGTTGGTCGACAATCTGGCGAAACGTCGGGTCGCTGACCACCGATCGGCTATCAAATAGTTCACCAAAAGTCGGTGCAAACCAATCGTTGATCGCCTGTCTGGCCATTGATTCCAATTCGCGGCGATTATCGGCCAAAAATAGTTCACAATTTTTTCGTATCAACGTTTCGACCGTACGATTGACTGGCCATCGAAACCCTGTACTAACACACTGTACCCGATCGTTGTCAATCAAGTGGACATCGGTAGCCCTGATTGTCTGGCGATGCAAATTCAATGACCACTCGACCCGAAACGTAAATCTATTGACCGAAACACAACATGTTTTCAAACGTGGATTATAGCGATACTTTGGTAAACCGATTTTGGCGTCAAAGTTAATGTTGGCCCTCAAGTCGCGCACCTGTATGTCATATAATTAGATAAAATTAAGTTTAAGTAATCAAATTGTTAGTATAGTTTGTTTGGCTACCAACCTGTATGTCGCACCCGACATGAAAGGTATGTCTATCCCGTCGATAGTGTTGTGGCCTTAGTTCAATGGCCGGGGATGACCGATGAAAACTGGTCGCACCAAATATGATACACTGATTGATGGTTACTGACACTATATATATATGTATTTTGATGATAATAAAGTTTTTTATGATAAATTTTTATGATAAAATTATGATAATTAATATATATATACAGTATATTATAATATACTAACATAAATACGAATAAATTAATTATTGAAAAATTAATAATAATTTAATCTAATTTATAATTATTATTATTTTTTTCAATAACAAAACATATATATATATTTATTTATTTATTTACATTAAAAGAAAATTATTTTTCTTTATGTGTAAACTTTAATAAACTTTTGTTTTTTTACAAATACTGTAATTATAATGACATTTATAAATATATATATATATATATATTAGAAATACAAACTAATTATCAATTTATTAAGCATATAATGTAATGATTATTATCATCAATAATAATTAAAAAAAAACATATTATAAATATATACCGTATTGATTATAATTAATGGTTTGTTTATCTCTCAGATATAAGGGATCAAACTTTTTCAGATGATAGTCGCGCACATAGTTTAGCAAACTGTCCATCAATTGGTTGCACTGATCATCACTTATTGTCGATGTTGTTGTTGGTGTTGTTGTTGAGGTTTCACTCATTTTTTTGGTATAAAAAAATTAATAATTTTTTTTAAAACAAAATAAATAACTAAAAAATTCTTTACATTAGATTATTATTATTATTTTTTTTTTTTTAAACAAATAGTAAATCATTTTTAAAATAACATTTAATTATAATAATATTAAAAAAAAATTATTTGTGACAATTATAATATTAAAAAATATAAATACTGTTTCAATTAATTTTTTTTTAATAAATATATTTTCAGTATTTTATCACATCATAAAATTTTATTTTGTGTACACATTATATCATTATTAAATAATAATAATAACTTAATAATAATTATTACAACAATTGTTTTTCAATAATAATAATTGAATAAAAATGAGTAAACATTTTAAACATTATAAACACATTTTTCTAATTATTATTATTATTATTATTTCACTATATATTTCAATAGTTTTAGTATAACAAAATAAAATCACAAATATTTATATGATATGATAAAAAAAAATTTTGTTATCATAGTTTAATACATAAGTATATTGATTATCATATCATATGTATTATAATAACATTTTGGTTAATATATATTGTAATAAATACTAATATTATTAATTATAATCATTTTACTTATAATCACTACTGTATATTAGTAACTGTTATTATTATTTGTTGTTATACTAAACAAAATAATTAATTAAACAATAAAAACAACAACAATAATATTTGTTGAATATTATTTAAAAAATATTTATTAAATTTAAAAAAAAACTTTATTTTTAATATATATATATATATATATATATATATATATATATTAATAAATTCACTTTAATTTTGTTTTAAGCATGCATATAGCGTATATAATTATTATTTAACACACATTTTTTATAGTAAAAATACAATAAACATATGTCTAAATACAGTAAAATAAAATACTATCATAATATACAGTAAATATATATATATGGTGTGTACTCAAAAAAAAACTAAAATAAAATAAATAAATAGTAAAAACTAATTAAACATTTGTCATACACATACATAAACAGGTGAGACTGTATTATTATTATTAATAATACTGTAAAACTGGTATTATTTTTTTATATACACCCATATTTGAAAAAATGTTTATATTTTTTATGTTTAATATACTGTAGTAGTAGTAGTAGTTAGTATTGTATTATTATTATTAATTATTTTGAATATGTGTAGTAATAGCAAATATTAATTTTTTAGATAACAACAATATTAACTTTATATACTTTATGTGTGTTTGTATATAAACCGTATAAACTTGTATATCATATGATATGATATGAAAAATTTGATATTTAATATACGATAACTATAAATGTGATATACAGTATATGATATATATCACTTATAAATCTATTATTATAATTTATCATTATTATTTATTAATACAATAATAATAATATTATTCTTAATAGTATTAGATTATTGCATTATAAGTTTGCCAAAAAATATATATAATAATTTTTTTGTTTATTATTGTTTATTATTATTATATATTCAATATTCTTTAAGATAAGTGAATAAATAAGTTAAATTATCATAATTTAAATTTAAAGCAATTTTTTTTGATTGTATTATTGTCTAAAATTTTAATATTATAATACAGTAGTATATGGTAATAATAATAATAATAATAATATTATTATTATTATTATTATTACAGTATTATTAAAATATAATTTATTTATATTAAGTTTGCTATCAAATAAATGTTATCAAACTTAATGGACATTTAAGGTATTATTGAATTAATTATAATAAATAATGATAATAATATTTAAATAAATAATATTAATAAATAATACAGTTTCTAGGTCACATAAAAACAATTTACAATATTTAGTAAAACAATTTATCTAAATTGAACTGTATATATGTCTATAAAAAAATTGTGTATAAATTAATAAAATAATAATAGAAATAAAATATTTAAAAAAAATAGTTTTATACAAATTTATAGATAAATTAAAAAAATTATTTTATTTAATTTACAATATGCTATTATTATCAATATGATCTCAATAATCTATCAACATAGTCTAGACATGTTGCAAATTTATTAAATATTTTATCTAGATCAATTATTAGATAATTTAAATAATAATCATTAATATTATTATTATTATCGATATTATTATTACTATTGTTAACACTATCAGTATTAGAATTATTATTATGATTATAGTTATAATAATTATTATTGTTATTATTATTATTACTATTAATATTATATAAATTTAATAAATTAATTAATAAATTATAATTGTCGACAACATATTTTAGACAGTTATCGTAGCACATCATCGATAACATTAGGACCGGCATTACAATTACAACCACTATTGTAATGACAATCATTGACAATATGATGGCCGACATGATTACGACAATTGCCATTTTCAGCAACGATGGCTTCTCCATGTCTAGTATATCTCTGTTAGCAAAATAATAATAATAATATAATTAATAATAATATAATTAGTAATAATAATAATATAATTAGTAATAATAATAATAATATAATTAGTAATAATAATATAATTAGTAATAATAATATAATTAGTAATAATAATATAATTAGTAATAATAATAATAATATAATTAGTAATAATAATAATATAATTATTAATAATAATAATATAATTATTAATAATAATAATATAATTAGTAATAATAATAATATAATTAGTAATAATAATAATATAATTAGTAATAATAATAATATAATTAGTAATAATAATAATATAATTAGTAATAATAATAATATAATTATTAATAATAATAATAATAATAATAGATATTAATTAGTATACATTATTTATATTTATTTTGTTGTTTTGTTGTTTGATTTTAATTAATATTTTTATTTATTATAAAATTATATATTATTTTTTTTACTTTATATATTATTATCATTATTATGAAAATATCATAATTATTTATACTGTATTAGTTAGTAACCTTAATTTGTTATAAATAAATATATATATTTAAATAATATATATATATATATAAATATTTTTAATTTTTCAAAACTTACCTAGGTTTATCATCGAAAATAATTTTCAAATTATCTGGCAAAATTTTCGTATTAATATAGTTTCTAGTAATTTTTGTTGACGATAGATATAGGGACAGTTGTTTATTGGTATCACCAGCTAATAAAGCAATGTCAATAAGCTGGTCGACCAGCTTATTGGTTATGCCCGGACACTCTTGCAATTTAATTGTACGTATAGTAGTTGATTGGCCATTATTATTTATATTACCCATAGCTAACTGTGCTACACCTTGATCAGTTAGATTGTCCATTGATTTCAATGTTAGACTAGTCAAGTTGGTCATCCTAGACAGCGATCGCATTGACAGATCAGTTATGTTTGATGTATTAACTAAATTATAAATATATAACAATAATAATAATTATAATTTTATCAAAATTGTAAAAAATTAAATTATCTAAAAAATTTATAACATTATATATTATATATATATATATATATATACATAAAACAAATCAAAGTTTAAAGAAAAAAAAAATAATTATTATAAAGTGTTTGTGAATATAATAAAACAAATTTATTTCCTAAATCTAATTATTTGATTAAAAATGTATAAATAAAAAGTTATTTTCTTTTAATTTATAATGTTTTTAAAAATATACTTTTAATATAAATAACTTATATAATAAAATAAAAGATTTTTTTGTTGTTGAAAATTAGTGTAAAACCATTAAAAAAATTTTACAATTATAATAAACACATAAATTTTATACTGATAATAAATACCAACTACAACAACAAAAATTATATATAAGTTATATAATTTTATAATAAAAATAATGCTATTTCAACAAAAAACAAAACAAAAAAACAATTAATTTTTTATTATATTTAAATCGTGAAACATTGTCAATTGGATAACTAAAATAATAATAATAATAATAGTTTTATTTATTGGGAACCATATATAATTAAAAATATATATAATATGCATATATATAGAGATATTTTAAAATAAAATAATTTAGTTTAAATTTTTTCTTATTATTTTTAATTTTGTTGTTGTTGTTGTTACTAATTTATCCTTTAATATAATTTGTGGGACTAAAATAATAATAATAATAATTGGCCCATAATTTATTGCATACCAGTGCTGGCTCTCAACAACAAAAATAACATAAAAATTTTTAATTTTATTTAACCGTTTCTATCGTTATCTATATCATACAGTTTATTATTAGTTTAATACCGGTATATAAAGTATATACTGTATATATATATATATATTTGAGTATTTAATATTATAATTATTATATATATAAGTGGATAGAAATATTTTTATTTATTATTTTTTTTGAGAGAAAAATTACTAGATTTTATCCCAACATTTAACAACATTTTTGTTAATATTATTATTACTATTTTTTAGTAGTAGTAGTAGTAATAGTATTTAAATAATTTTTTATGCAATATATATATATATACTGTATATTGAATTGTATAATAAACTTTATATGCAATCATGTATATATATATATAAATATAATATAATAATATAATATCAATTCCGGGCAATAAACACGTTAAATATATTAGCGATATATAAAAGATCATTACATTATTATTATTATTATTTTCATGTATAGGATATACCCATTAAAATTGTTGTCTACCTGTGCTCAACAGTGACTCTCAAAAAAGGTTTTTTTTAAATGGAAAGGGTTATCGATAACAACTACAGTATATATTTTTTTAAAATAAAACTTGAAAAATAACATTTTTTTATTATTATTTTCGGGGCAAACAAAACATATAATAGTAATTTCGTTTAAAAAGTAAATTTTTTAAAACATTTTTTTAATGGATAATATTATGGATGTATTTCTTTAAAAAAACGATATATATATATATATTACTAAATATTTTTATGAATAAGTCGTGCATTTAATAAATGCAATAATTTTTATTATTATTATTATTCATGTTAT